ACGTAGCTTTCCTTTATAGCATCTAATGAGCGTATAACACTACCATTTACTTCTGTGACAGTTTGTTTATTGTCAGCTACTCTAATAATTTAAATTCCATGAAGCAGGGGGTTGATCAACGTCATAGCCCCAGAGTCTGCCAAAGTGCCTGGTGCATAAACATTTGTTGAATCAATGAATTGAGAAATTAGAAGTAAATAAAAATGGGGTTAACTGATACTGATAATACAAATTTTCTTACAGATAATGAAATGTTTACCAGTTTGCTTCTATAAACTGAAAAGTTTGAGACTATCTAAAAGAAATCTCACCATTAAAAAATGTTTTGTAGTGATTATTCTCTGTTAAGAATTTGCTCAGAGCTTGGCATTCTTTTGCTTCCTTCTTTCCCTCTCTCCATCGCACCCCAAGCCTTTTGTTTATTTTGGCTGTTAGTTCTCATCTAAAATGAACTACCACTCGCCTGGACCTTTTATGAAGTTCAGATAGTTTCAAGCTACAGGCTCTCTTAGTCTAATTTTCAGCCAATTTGTAGGTTCTAAGTACTTATTGAACCCAGGTTTTCTCTTCTCCCAACAAAAATCACTTAGATGTCAAAATCCAGGGAAGATGGCATCATTGAAATCCACAAAGCAAATGCCACATGCAACCATGGGCAGAGTTGAGGTGATAATCTTGAATGTATACAAACCAAATCATATGGATCCTAGCCAGGGCCTATAATCATTTTCAGTATCTTTCAACATATTGTCAGTGTTGGTAAAGGTTTCTTAGCATAATTTACCTTTGTGGAATTCAGAATGGGTATGTTCTGTAGGACACTGTTGCAGCAATATTTATCTGATACAAAGGTGTCACTGTGTTTTTCTTATCAACTCTATGCCAAAGAGTGGAATGACACATTCCTTGTTTTTTTGTTTTTTTGGTATGACCAAAGACAAAATAGACCCCAGGAAAGAAAAGCAGGCTTCTATATTGTTTTCAGAAAGTATTAATTAGCTGTCTGAATTCTGATTTATCTATTAAATTTTTCTTTTTGCTCAAAGTATAGGATGTTTGCATGATCATATGTTTATTTTAGCCACAGATCTCCCATCTGGGCACATTCAGTATCTTTATGAATTTCTCATACATATATATTTGTATGAAGTTTCCAAAGAACATTAAGAAATCGATTTGTTTATGTAACCAAAATGAACTTTTAATTTTAAATCTGTCATTTGAACTAAAACTGGACAATGTAGATGGCACATAGGATCAGACTCAGGGTGCCCAGTGATGCACTACTCCATGCAAATGAGGTACATTTACTCTCGGAGTCATGCGCCACTGTAGCCTGCTTCCAGACCTCTCCTGGATTTAACAGCACTCCCCACAATCCAGACCGTTGGGAGAGATCGTGTAGGGAACACGTTTAAACTGCAGGATTGCCTGGATTGTTGTTTGCCTAGGTCAGGTATGTGTTGTGAGTAAGTAATCCTATTTTTTCCAAGTGCAGATCTCATGCTTCTTGTAATCCTTTTGAGGTTGGGGGGTTTCCCTTCCCTTTCAGCCCCTCCCTACCCCCCATATCTTTTAACTGCTTTGGAACCTGAGAAAGAGCAAATTTGTTCATGGGTCCCATTTTCCATTTTGGGCTTTGAGAAGGATTTCCTTAAGCTGAATAGAGACCTGACTTGGTCATTATTTGGCCCTGACAGTTTCTCAATTGCAAGCCTTCCATGGAGTGTAGTAGATCTGATAGTTCATTTTAGGTATAGGTAGCTGTTCATTTGAATTCTGAACCATGACCCTAAGGATTTTCACTAGTGTTATTTACTGAACCTCTTATTATGAAAATTTTCAAACATGTAGATAAGTTGAAGATTTTTACAGTGAACAGCTGGTACCCTGATCTAAATTCTACTATTAATAGTTTAATCAGTTTAAAATACTTGCTTTATCACATGTTTGTTTTTAATGTTTTTCAAACTAAGTTATGGGTAAGTACACTTCCCCCTAAAGATTTCAGTATGCATATCCTTAAGTAGAACTCTGTATTTATCTACAGTTCTTTTTTTCCTTTTGATAAAATATTTACATACAATGAAATGCATAAATCCTAATTACACCATTTGATGAGTTTTGACAAATGGATATGTCTGTTTAAACAAAATCCTTATTGAGATTTAGAATATTACCACCACTCCAGAAAGTTCCCTCATGCCCTTCTGAGGTAAGTCCCTGCCCTCCTTCCCCACCCCCACCCTCCAGCATAGGTTAGTTACGCCCATCCTGCTTCACACAGATGGAATCATGCATGTAGTGCGTGCTCTTTTGTGTCTGGCTTCTTTTTGTTCATTATAATTTTTTAGAGATTCATCATATTATTATATATATATATACATTTCAACGACTGTTCGTGCTAGGTAGTATTCCATCGTATAAATATACTACTGTTTGTCGATCCGTACTCCTGGTGATGAACACCTGTTTTCCACCTATTCTGAGTAAAGCTGCTCTGGTCAAGTACAATCTTTTTTGAAAACATATATTTTCCTTTCTCTTGAGGAAATACCTAAGAATGGACTAGCTGGGTCACAGAGGAGGTGATCATTTAGTTTTTGAAGTAGCTGCCAGGCCTTTCCCCAAGGTGTACCACTCCGTCCTCCCATGGAGAGTTTCTGAGTCCCCCACACCCCTGCCAGCCTTCCGGTGGGGGTGTTGTAGGTTTCATTGATCCATCTCTCTTGATTAATAATGTTAACCACTTTTCTCATGTGCTTATTGGCCTTTCCTCCATATTCTTTTGTGAAGTATCTATTCTAGTCATTTACCCATTTTTACCGAATTGTTGTCTTTGCTTTTGAGCTATGCAGATTCTTTAACTATACCAGGTCTTTGTCAGAGATGTGTTTTGTAAATATTTTTTCTTCTGTGGCTTGCCCATTTTCTTTCTATTTTTTTTAAGACTTTTTATTTATGTATTTGAGAGAGAGCGAGCACGGGGGGTGGTGGAGAGGCAGAGGGAGAGGGAGAAGCAGAGAAGCAGACTCCTCGCTAAGCAGGGAGCACGACATGGGGCTCAATCCCAGGACACTGGGATCATGACCTGAGCCAAAAGCGGACATTTAACCGACTGAGCCACCCAGGCGCCCCTTGCCTGTTTTAATGCCTTTTGATGAGTAGAAATTTTTAATTTTGGCAAAGTCTGATTTATCCATTTTTCTCTTTTATGATTTTTGCTGTGTCCTGAGAAACTTTTGCCTACCCCCCAAGTGATGGAGATACTCTCTTACGTGTCAGTCTAAAAGTTGTTACGGTTTTAGCTTATACATTTAGGCCTAGGAGCCATCATGAACTGATCTTTGTTTCGGTGGAACTTAAGATACAAAACAAAACAAAAATGTAGAGTAGTTTTGTTTTTTTTTTAATTTGAAAGTTTTTAAATACAGCTTGGCAGTTGGAGCTAGGTTTAAAATAAACTGATGTGATGAACTGACTCATTGGACTGAGGCAGGCACGTGGGTGATCTCAGAAGGGCCTCTTAACTGGGTGAGGAACACACCAGCATCACTGGCCAGGCTCAGTCAGGTCTGGGGGAGAAACACTGTTCAATTGTTGGCCCTGGAGAGTTTTTAAAAATCGCTTCCTAGCCATTTTAAAGATGTTTTAGGTTTGTTCCTTCAATGTGGAGTCTAATAGCAAATGTGGATATAGTTGATTTGCATTTGTGTCGCAGAAAGTTCTTCAAAATGATGTCACCGGGAGGATACCAAAGGGCAGTGAGTGAGCGCAACCGTCTATGATGGTCAGGTCAGCAACCCCTGTCGGTTTGCAGAAAGTTCTGCTTTGATTATTAGATGATTTCTTTATGAGACAAGCCAGTGTTCAGAGGACAGTTCTCTGCTTACAGTTCTTAAAAGATAAATGACCTAACTTTATTCCTTAAAGCTATGGAAAGGAATTAATTTTTAAAGTAGGAGAAATTTGAAGTACTCCAAAACAAAAATGTATTAAGGATATGTGACTTTTTTTAATGAGAATATGGCATATCCTTAATATTTACTCCATTTTTTAAAAATTTTATTTTATTGTTATTTTAATCACCATACATTACATCATTAGTTTTTGATGTAGTGTTCCATGATTCATTGCTTGTGCATAACACCCAGTGCTCCATGCAGTACGTGCCCTCTTTAATACCCATCACCAGGCTAACCCATCCCCCCACCCCCCTCCCCTCTAAGAACCCTCAGTTTGTTTCCCAGAGTCCATAGTCTCTCATGGTTCGTCTCCCCCTCCGATTTCGCCCCCCTCCGATTTCGCCCCCCTCATTTTTCCCTTCCTACTATCTTCTTTTTTTTTTTAACGTATTATTTACTCCATTTTTTAAAAATCTTCCATAATGCTACAGCAAGTGTGAATTCATTTGTACCCATGATGCAAAGACCTTACTTTGTGAACCAGAATGTTTCACTCTGGGCCTCCAGACTGATCCACGTATTTCTTAGTAACTGAGTAAAACTTGAAGAACCACACAGCTGGAAGAATGTTTAGAAAATGCAGTTTGAGCTTTTGTCTGCAGGACATATTCACAGATATTTGCTTAAGACAAAGGTTTTTTTCCCAAAGACTTTCTTTCTTTTTTAATTAATTATTTATTTATTTTTAAAGGTTTTATTTATTTATTTGACAGAGAAAGACAAGTGAGAGAGGGAACACAAGCAGAGGGAGTGGGAGAGGGAGAAGCAGGCTCCCCGCAGAGCAGGGAGCCCAATGCGGGGCACGATCCCAGGACCCTGGGATCATGACCTGAGCGGAAGGCAGATGCTTAAAGACTGAGCCACCCAGGTGCCCCCAAAGGCTTTCTTTCTGTTTGCGATTCTAGCATGTAACCTAAAGCCAATTAGAGAAGTCAACCACTTTTGATCTTTAGTTAAAAAAAAAATTTCACTGGGGCAAATAAATAAAGTCTTTAAAAAAAAATTTAATTGCAGGTATGACTTCTTTGACCACATCTGCTTATTTTGATATGATCGGTAACCTTTCACCCATTTTACAAAAAGGGATTGGCGGGGGGTGGTCCATGAACTAGACAGTTACAGAGCAGATGGTTCAAGAGAAAAATAATAGGAAAAAAATACTTGCTTCAAAATCACCCCTCGAACACTTGAGCCATCACTGGATTCCTTGTTGGAATGTGTCTCCAAGCTCTGCCGTCGTCCCTGTTGGGAAGAGGGCATGAGACTATGCCCATGGCTCACCACAGCTGGTGACCCTTGCGGTCACTGCTTCATTGTCTTGTTCTCCTGAAGAGCATCCACGTGTCACCCAAAAATCAGTTTGAGGCTGGAGTTACCACGATAGGATATGTTCCTTCACGCTAAAGGCCGGTCAGTTCCAGCTAAAAAGGATCCGATCAGTTCACCCTGTGACTCCAGGGTGGGGCTTGGCACAGAGGCAACGAATGACAAATATTTGTGGACTCGAAATGAAAAAGTTACTTGGTAGCCATGAAACTGCAAAATACAGGAAGGGCCCTCTCCGAAAGTTCATGTAAGGGGGAAAGAGGAGGATTCTTCTACTTACGGGGTATGCATTGCCATCCAGCCTAGAATGGGTCGGGGGAGGGGGGCGGTATGTAGAAAAGGCCAGTTGTTCTCCTGCCCTCTTTGTGAAATTCTGACCCACAGGCTGAGAAGAGGTCAGCATTAGGTCTCAGACTGCTGACCACCTGTTACATTCTCTTACTGCTCCTTTGCCTTTGATTTTGGCAGCTTCCTCTCTAGGAGCAGGCGCGGATGGTTTGGAAAGAGAAATTGGATCGATGGTGAGACTCTTGCAGGCTAAACGTAACTCTTTCATGAAACAGAGAACTAGGCTCTAGGTTGATACTAGGGAAAGAAATTAAAAGATACTCCCACCTGAGCAGTGATTAAGTTGAGAAGACTTAGTTTGTGGTGATACCCTTAAGCTCATTCAGCACGTAGTTTCTTCTCTAACATCAGCATGTATTCAGAGTTTTGTTTCCCCTTTCATGAATACAGGGACAGCGATACGTTCACCAAGATGAAATTTACTGAATGGCCATCGAAAAAGCCTTTTGACAGCTAAATTAGTATTGTAACACCAAGATTGTAGGGGAATGCTAGTCCTCACTGCTCAGATAGCTATTTTAAAACAAGCTATTTCTGTGGTTATTTGTGCCCCAGTAGGGACCCCCTTCTCAGTTTAGCGGTGTGTCAGAAATACTTTAAAGACTAGCAGATGTTTGGGTTAATAAAAACCATGCTTATCTTCTTTCCATGCTCTTATGGCATTCTTACTGTGATTTCTTCATTGGGGCTTTGAATAAAGAAAAAGCTGCAGTATTTGGCAGAGTCTGATAATTTTAAGTATTTCTTTATCATTCTAGAACACACAAAACGTTGAATTTAAACATCTCTTAAAGGAAGATTAATGGCTCTTGTCTGCCTGACATTTTGAGACTGTCCATAGAGCCCCTCCCCCTTGTATTTCTAGCCCTGCTTCCTTCTGCTTTTCTTATATTGCTCATGGATCCCCTCTACCTGGGACATCAGACATAGGACTAGTATATAAATAAAAGCACTGTTGAGGACTGGAATAAGGGTATCCAGCTCAAGTGGGAAGCTGAGCTTATGAGCTCTATTCAGAGCAGTGTCAGAACTTAACTGCTGGTCGTAATTAATTTGTTACTGGAAGGAATATTGTGACATTTAAGCAAGTTTGAGAGGCTATAACAAGTCATCAAAGGAAGCTTATACCCGTACGTTTGCCAGAGACCAATTTTATAACCTAGGCCAGTCTGTCTGTGGCAGTTTTAGATAACTCTTGAGAATCTTGGGCACTCTGGATTAGCAGGCAACGGTATGTGGCATTTCCTGGGAGTGTCTAAGTCTGACATACCTTATAGTAAACGTAGAATGTAGTATTGTATGCAATTAAGACAGGCACAAATGGAATGGGATTTGGGGTCCACAGACGACGTGTGGTTTTACATCCATTCACAGAGCTCGCTGGTGCTAGAGACACTTGAGACGTAGGCTAACGTGCAGCTAACTGTAAAAGTTAGACTATGTCGAATACTATAATAGAGAAATAAACAGTTTGCATAGGGTATGGATGAAAGGGTATCTAAGTGAGGGGGCAGAAAGAATGCCCCTCAGGACAGAGGGAGCAGCCAAGACAGAGACACAGGGACATGAATATGTTTGGTCTTCCCAGGAAGAGGAATTGTTTCTTTCCCAGCAGCATAGTGGCTGGAGGGAATGATGGGACATGTGGCTGGACGTTGGGGGGCCAGACCCACAGAACCCTGGGTTCATGCCAACAGTATGCTTCCTTGGCAAACAGTCAGGGGCCCTTGAAGGATTTTGAGTGGAGAAATGGCAAGTTTATCCCAGAAACAAGTAGCTTGGAAGGTGGATTAGCAGAGTCTAGAGAGATTGGCTTGGGGGAGATTATAAATTCTCAGACAGTTGAGAGCTGCAAGTAGGACATAGGAGGTAATAATAGGGAGACTGTAACTGACTTTAAAGAGTTTGCAGAGATAGTAGGTGGAAATAAAACAAAAAGTCAAAAGTGGGTCTATGGGTAAGATAACAAGTCTCAGGTTCCCACTGGAAGAAAAAGTGGGTTTGGGAAGGAAAGCAGTGAGTTTGGTTTTGAACAAAGTGAAATTAGGATACTGAACATCAAAGTGGAGGCGTCTATAGGCACTTGGACATTTGAATGTGATGCTTTTAGAGAAGTTGGGGCAAAAACTAGAGATTTGGGGGTCATTTGAATAAAGGTGAGGATCTAAGATATGAAGTCCACATCAAGATCAAGTTTTTCTCAAGATAATTTCTTTTAAAAATTTTTTAAAAATTTAATGGAGAAACTTGTGTGGAGTTATTTTATATTTGATAACTTGAATGTTACTGAACTTGTCTTAATTAGATTAGTTTTCTTTGGGTTATACTTTTTATTCCAGAGAAACTTAAGTCCTTAGACTTATTTTGCCTTAATACTCAGGATTTAAAAAAAAAAAAAAAAAGGAAGTGTCTTTAGTGGCGAGCATTTTGGGGGTGACTTTTTATTTTATTTATTTTATTTTTATTTATCTATTTATTTTTAAAGATTTTATTTATCTGTTTGACAGAGAGACAGCGAGAGCAGGAACACAAGCAGGGGGAGTGGGAGAGGGAGAAGCAGGCTTCCCGTGGAGCAGGGAGCCCGATGTGGGGCTCGATCCCAGGACCCTGGGATCATGACCTGAGCCAAAGGCAGACGCTTAACGACTGAGCCACGCAGGTGCCCCAGGGGGTGGCTTTTTAAATTATTGTATTTTCATTACCTAAAAGGGATTGTGAAATTGCTAAGCACGTTGAGCTTGATATCAAGCTAGTCCCCCAGGATAACCTCCTCGCAATGCTTTGCAGGCATATCTTCTTCTTGCATATCAAAGAGACCCTCCTGGCAGGCCACCTCCAGTGCTCCCCAGAGCAGGCAGTGGAACTCAGTGCCCTCCTGGCCCAGACCAAGTTTGGAGACTACAATCAGAACACGGCCAAGTACAACTACGAGGAGCTGTGTGCAAAGGAGCTCTCCAGCGCCACCTTGAACAGGTAAGGCTGCATGGGGGCAACTGTTCGTATTCATCGAGCTAGCGAATTTATAGGTATTTCCCTAGGAAAATGAATCTCTGGTATATATACAGATAATTGGTGAGGCTAAGACTAGATCATTGCCCAATTTAGCCAGTTGTTCTCGAAAGATTCTTAGCCTTTTCTTCGAGAAATTTACAGACACAAAACAATCCACCTAAATGAATGCCCTTATATAAAATGCTGTGGAACAGGAATTTTTTTAAATCTCTGACCTCTGAAGGATGCAGATCTCTTCAAAAGTCTATCATATATGTTGGTATTTTCTTCATCCCAGCAAGGATTAAACCAAGAGACCTAACGTAGGTGTCTTAGTTACCTATTCCTGGAGAATAAGTTACCGCCAAACTTAGTGGCATACAGCAACAACCAGCGTCTCTCCCTGCTGGGGGTCGGGAATCTGGCTGTTGCTTGGCTGGGTTCTCCAAGATCTTTCATGAGGCAAGCTGTTGGTGGAGTTCAGTGTCATCTGAAGGCTCAGTCGAAGGAGGGATCCCCTTCCAGGTTGACTCACGTGGCATGTTGGCAGGGCCTTGTTCTCTCACCACACAGGCCTCTCCAGGGGGCTGTTTCATAATGTGGTGCTGGCTGCCCCTAGGGCAAGCCGTCAGTTAGAGCAAGAGGGAACACCCAAGACAGAAGTCAGGTCCTTTTAGAACGTAATCTCAGAAGTGAGTGACATCCCATCACTTCTGCTTTATTCTGTGCATTAGAAGCGAGTTATGAATCCCGCCAGTCATTAACACAGCAGGGACTCAACGCTCAGGTGAAGGGAATTGTACAAGGGTGTGACTATCAGGAGGTGGGGATCTTGAAGGACTGTGTTAGAGGCTGTCTGCAACAACAATAAAATAAATCCTGCATTTTTCAGTTGCAGGTGATCTAATCAATCCCTTATAATGCTATATCATAATGAAACTTAGAAAGTAAGTATAGATACCTGCGTGAGAAGTTCCTACATACAAAATTTCTTATGTATATTTTAGAGATTTTCCGTAATTCTTCCAATTCACCCCTATCCGGCATCCCCACTTGTTTTTTCTACTGAACATTTAATACTTGAGATCGAAATGGTGTCTTAGAAGTATTTTACAGTCAATTTGCTAAATAAATGAAATATCAGTGCTATATTGCTTTAAGTTTTTGAGATACATAAATGGCAGCATCTGCATGATTCAGTAGTGAAAATGATACCAGTTTCTCTCTAAAGACCACATCAGTTAATCTCTCCATGCCTCTCTGCCCTTCTGGTGTCCAGCAGCATTGTTGCAAAGCATAAAGAGTTGGAGGGGACCAGCCAGGCCTCGGCCGAATACCAGGTGTTGCAGACTGTGTCGGCAATGGAAAACTATGGCATAGAGTGGCATTCCGTGAGGGACAGCGAGGGGCAGAAACTCCTCATTGGGGTTGGACCTGAAGGAATCTCAATTTGCAAAGACGACTTCTGCCCAATTAATAGGTAACCTACATCTTAAATTTTTATTTAGCCCAAAGCGTGTGTATCCCTTTATAGCTCTGCATATGAAAATAGATAAAACCAGAAAGGGATTTCCTAGACACTTACCTTTTAGGAATCAGATGTTTCATTTTGGGCACGGATATTAATTTTATTCAGGCCTTGATAACCGTTTAATTATTTTTTATTTTATTCATTTATTTTTTTAAGATTTTATTTATTTGAGAGAGATTGAGCGTGCACGCATGCCCATGAGCTCGGGGAGGGGCAGAGGCAGAGGGAGAAGCAGACTCCCCACTGAGCAGGGAGCCCAACTCGGGGCTCGATCCCAGGACCTGGGATCACGACCTGAGCTGAAGGCAGATGCTTAACCGACTGAGCCACCCAGGCGCCCCTTAATTATTTTTAAGCTACGAACTCAAGTGTACTGATGTGGCAGAGTCAATATTTTTCAGAGAAGTTCACTGCTGTAAAAGTCTCCTTTCCACCTCCACACACACACACACACACACACACAGCTCACTCCAGCACTTCTCTCCACAACTACTTTCTGACCAGGGAGCGGGGTGCTTACGGGCAGTCCCAGACCAAGCATCTGGTCGTACTGCTGGGTCCCGAGCACAGGGGAATTCCGCAGAGGTGCACACACAGTGACAGATCACTCCTCCAGGGCGGGCTCACTTTTCTCTTCCCGGGTTTCAGGATCGCTTACCCTGTGGTGCAGATGGCCACCCAGTCGGGAAAGAACGTGTACTTGACCGTCACCAAGGAGTCTGGGAACAGCGTCGTGCTCTTGTTCAAGATGATCAGCACCAGGGCAGCCAGCGGGCTCTACCGAGCAATAACGGAGACCCACGCTTTCTACAGGCACGTAGCGCTCCGTACCCCACAACCTTAGCGTCTGTCCGCAGCTCTGGGTTTTCAGGTGACAACAAGGTCCCTGTGGTTTCTGGTATCGTTGTGTCCGTGAATCTTGTGCAGAATTTAAGAAATCTGCTGCTTTCGAACATTTCGTTTGTCCTTCTCTACTGTAGCGTTGGGAGTCCTTATCGACGTGGACTCGCTCTTCCCACAGCACGCGCGTGGGGACGAACCGCACAGACACCCCCTCCCCCACCCAGCTTCTCTTACCTTATTCCCTCACAACGCCTCCTCTCCCCGGGAACTCTGACTCGTTGGGCCCGTCCCAAGACTGCTTTGCTGTTCGACCTAAGTCATCTCTGTCGGAGAGCAGCTACCCCGACTGCTCAGTGCACAGTTAGGGTTTTCTAATGACAGTAGCGATACCCTCATTTCGGAAGGTGCTTTAAATAAAGCAGGCTTATGGTTTGACCCAAATATGTGAGAAATTAAAGCTGAGAAATTTAATTGCGATCTTAACCTTTTTTCTGCTAAGATAGACACACAAATTTTGGAGCAGAATGGAAAATGTGTGGGAATTTTTAGCATAAAGCCAGGAAAGAAGAACGTGTCCCTTTTTCCTGCCATGAGCGGTTTTTGGCCGGAGCTCCTATCCCCGGGGGTGGAAGCAGGTGTTCACGGTCCTCTCTGTTGATGGCTGCTTTATCCCAGGTCCTCCAGGGACACTTGAGAAACACAGAGGTAGAATCCTTGAAATGTTCCACACACATAACACTGGAAGAATTTACTTTGGGGCATGCAAGCAAGAATACAAATGTCTGCTGACACGAACATTCTTAGGCACAGTAGCATTTGAAGGTCTGAGTCTCGGGAATGCGCGGGCTTGTTGGTACTGAAGCGGACGTTCCATCTGTCCCTGCAGGTGTGACACGGTGACCAGTGCCGTCATGATGCAGTACAGCCGAGACCTGAAGGGCCACTTGGCCTCTCTGTTTCTGAATGAAAACATTAACCTTGGCAAGAAGTATGTCTTCGATATTAAAAGAACGTCAAAGGAGGTCTACGACCACGCCAGGAGGGCTCTGTACAATGCTGGTGTTGTGGACCTCGTCACGAGAAGCGAGCACAGCCCTCCAAACTCCCCGCTGAAGTCCTCAGAGAGCAGCATGAACTGCGCCAGCTGTGAGGGCCTCAGCTGCCAGCAGACCAGGGCGCTCCAGGAGAAGCTGCGCAAGCTGAAGGAGGCCATGCTGTGCATGGTGTGCTGTGAGGAGGAGATCAACTCGGCCTTCTGCCCTTGCGGCCACACCGTGTGCTGTGAGGGCTGTGCCACCCAGCTGCAGGTGAGGGGTGCTCGGCGGCGGCTCTTCCGCGGCAGGCTCGCTCATCCCACCGTTCACGGTCGATGAGCACCTGCTGTGCACCAGGTGCAAGCCGAATGCCCAGCTACACCTGGACACCCGGGAAGGGGCTTCCTATTTGGGGACTTCACAGGTACTGCTCTTGGGAAACATTCTGGATTAGCATACTGTTTTCAACAACGTAATTGCTCTAAGTCCTAGACTTTTCTCAGGTTCTGGAAAGGAGGCTCCGATTCCCAAGGTAACACATCTAGTAAGCAGGTGAGCCAGAGGCTAGAACCATCGCTTCCTGCTTCCTGACACTTAGGAGGATGGTCTTTATTATTTACTTAAAATATTTGAAAAAGAATACTAAGAAGCAGTAGTTAGAGCTCACTTTCAGTTCTGTGGGGGGATCGTTGACTGTGATGATTTGCGATTAATTTCCTTTTATTGCTGCCTATGCCTCAAGGGGCATCTTGGATTGGCTCTTGTTAGCAAGAGCCAATTAGTTAGCAAGTCAAACTAATTTTAATATTAATACAAAAAAAAAAAAAGCAACGCATGTATGTTTTCCTTTCTTGCACCTTACATTTCCCCTTACAATAATTTTTTCAATTTGTTGTCATTTCTAAGAACTGTTTGCTAAATGTCACTGTGGTTTTATTTCAGAATTAGCCCTAAATAATACCTAGTCCTCCAAAAGCTGCTAATTTCAGAACTAGTTTTAGGGTTATATACTGAGCCGGCAGGATGGCTTTGTCCTTCCTAAGAGTAGATAATGAGTTAATAACAAGGACTTATTTCTCCAGGAGCGGTAGGTCAGGGATTTGCCTTTTTCATGGTCGGACCCCCATGCCTAAAGCTTCCCTGTGGCTGAGGGAGGGGCCCGAGCTTGCTGAGAAGCCAGCCAGGGATGTGGAGCTATGACCTGGGATTCGGAGCAGAGCCAAGTTCACTGGCCACGTGGCATCAACCCAGTGGCACTGGCCTGGGTCAGCCCACTGAGCCAGGGACACCCAGACTCTGGAAGGGTCTCAGGTCTCCTACATCACTGCCAGAGGGATCGCACTCTGCCCATGCAAGGACCAAGCCTCGCTACACAGCAGGAATTCTTTGCTAATCACTTTACTCATTGTGCCTGGGTTAGAGTGGGACTAAAAACCTAAGTAATTGCGTGCAGTTTATACTTTTTCATAATATTTTGAATCCCTTGTAAGGTATAGACTTTCAGACCCATTAGAAAGCAAAGATACCGGGGCGCCTGGGTGGCTCAGTGGGTTGAGCGTCTGTCTTCAGCTTAGGTCATGGTCCTAGGGTCCTGGGATCAAGCCCCATATTGGGCTCCCTGCTTAGCGGGGAGCCTGTTTCTCCCTCTGCCCCTCCCCCTGCTCATGCATGCTCTCGCTCTCACTCTCTCTCTCTCTGTCAAATAAATAAAATCTCGAAAAAAAAAAGAGAAAGAGCAACGATCTCTACCACTTGAGAGCTAGAAATAGTCGTGGCCACAACTTAGGTAGCGAACGGAATAGAGTAGGTGCCGCGCATGAGTACTGAAGACACAGCCCCGCAGGTGTCCTAACCAGTACCGTGGGCTTCTCTTTTCCAGTCGTGTCCAGTCTGCAGGTCGACGGTGGAGCACGTGCAGCACGTCTATCTGCCGACCCACACCAGTCTGCTCAACCTGACCGTGATCTGACGTGCGGTGCACCTAACGGGACGTGCCACGTTTCCACGGACTGCGCTACCACTAAACTGTACAAATGATAGATCGTGGAGAACATAAATACTCCGACACCCATCTGCCATGCAACATTTAAAAAAAAAGAAAAGGAAGAATAAAAAGAATACTCCTCCCCACCAAAACATACCACGCGTAGAATCCGCACCTGCAGTGGTGGGGGCCGGGAAGAGTTCTGGGCCACGGACACGGTCGTTGGATTTACTCTTCTTGTGATCAAGTTAAAGGAATATGTGAAATCTGTGATGTCAGTTAAGCGGCTGCAGAGCCAAAACGTGGGTACCTTTTTAGGAAAGGATATCGTTAAGTCTCCTGATGTATCCCGAGGTGTAAGTTTCCTACTTGGCAGCAAATTTTGTAAGAATTCATTTCAAGAATTTACTTGGTTCTTTTTGTACGGTCATGGAGCTCTGAACATTTTAATAGGAAATTTTTCTTAAAGAAACAGTCATTTTAATGTCATTTCTGTTTTTATTACTTGCTCAAGAATGATTGGAAGGCGAACAGATGTAGAGATCAATTCTGTGACTTTTAAAAAGTTGACAACCAGGCTGTCAGATGTAAACCAGCCTGGCTTGTGAAACAGAGAACTCAGTACGCACGGCTTCCTTTCCCCCGTCCCTGCCCCCTTCCCTCCCCCAAGTCTTTCGATTATAAAATGCTACCAGTCTGGTTATAAGATTTCTGTGGAGTAGTCCGCACTCCTTGGGCTCTTTGAGTTGGTGGGATATTTTTATTTAAGTTGAAAAGGGACTGCACGTTCTTGGGGGAGCAGAGCATTGCTCGCGGAGATGAAGCTTCACGGTGTACCAACCAGAGGGCTCTCCGCTTTTCCCAAAAATTCCACTCCAGCTTCAGCCACTGGGGTCGCTTTTGCTCGAGCCATCAAGCCTTTTTATAGCCTTATTGTAGGTATCTTAGATTATTGTATGCTTTTTTTTTTTTTGTAGTAAATGCTTAAGTATTAACTCTCGGTTGTCTCCTCCCTAGGTCTTTGAGGGGTTTCGAGTTTCTTTGTTTCTATATTCTTAATCATGTTTTCCACTCCCACTTGGGCATTTTGGACGCTGGTCAGCTTGTGGGTTTTCTAGGACGTCGGAACACCTAGATGACCTTATTGGGTGCAATACTAGCTAAGTGAAAGCTAGAAACCTACACTGTCACTTTACTGAGATTTCCGAGTATACTTTTCATATTGCCTTAATGTAGCAGTAATGTGTTTATGCATTTGTTTCTTTGCACAGACATTTTGTCAAATATTAAAACTCTACTTTTTTATGGCACATATTAGCATATAAGCCTTTATTCCAAGAGGTATTTATTTTTTCACTTGTAAAAAAAAAATAATGTTTCCACATAAAGAACTCTGTTCTATCCTAAAGGACTTCTGTCTTTTGTATTCAGGATAATAAAGACTTTAAAGCAAATGTGGTGTTTGTGTCTTCACAGTTCTTGTCATTTAAACCAGTTTTATTCACTAAAAAAGGGAGGAGCATTGATAACATCCTGCTTGGTATCTACTTTGGTCCTATATGGAAAATTTGAAAACTTTGAGAGTATTGGCTCTAATTGAGAACATTCATCCCATTATTCTCTCCTCTGTTTTCTGGGCTGGGGTTGAAATGTAGGTGAAAATGGAGTAATAGCTATAAGCAGATGAAAAGTTAAAAATTGGGGACAGGACTAGAAGGTACTGGAGAAGGAAAGGAATGACAGAGTTGGAAGTTAGCCATTTAAACTCAGATGATGCCGCTAGTTGCCTGGTCGGGACAGGTGAGCGCCTGTCCAGGTCTGAGCAGTAATGGTCTCAGGTGGCAGACTCCAGGACCACATTCTGTGCAACGCCGAGCTGCGGCTGCTAGGATCCGCGTGCATGTGCCCATTGGTGCTGCTCAGGAAGTGCTTGGTACAGTTGAGAACCCTGCACGTCATGTATGTAACTGATAATTCTCTGTAGCAGTTGCAGGACATGATTTCAGCTGCGGCAGAAGTTCAGCCCAGTACCAGTACAATTATTTCCAGAAAATAATCTTCTAAAAATTGAGAGAGAGGGATTTGTTTTCTACGATTCCGATACCTAATTCAATCTTCCATCAAGTTCTAGCAATCCTTTGTCCACTCAACACATTTACTGAGTACCTAAGTTATTAACGCACGCTGGAAATGTAACCGTGATCAAGACGTGAATGATCTGTCACTGCTTTATAGAGAGAGGTTAAATCATACTCAAAAGTCGTAGAACATCAGCACTGGAAGAGCACGGCAGGGTCAAGGGGTTGGAGTCACAAGGAGGGGTCGTAAGACGTGGCAATAAATAGGAGGTCCAGCGTTCTGGGAAGAAGTGGGTGCGCTTTGAGAAGTGAGGAGATGCTATGAGACATCAGTGAGCTGTGGACGCAGACGTGCGTTTGGTAGTGAGTAGCGTAAATCAGGATGGTGCTCTAGGAGGAGGCCAGGCCAGAGAAGCATTGTGGTTTAGTATTTTCAGTGGGAGGGCGTGGGTAGGCCTAGAGGAGACAACCATGGACAGGGTGCTTAAAAGACACAGTGTGGAGGGATAAATGGAGAGACAGAAGCCTCAGGAGGCTCTTCTGTCAAAAGACGTAAGTTATAAGACTTGAACGAAAGCACTCTTTCACCTTTTTATTAATGGTTACAAAAATTAGAAATGGTTTTCCCCATCCGACCCCATTCCCGTACGTCTGTATTTATCCCGTCACAGATGGGGACTCAAATGCAATGCTGATAGACTCTGGGGTTGTCCCCTTACTTCTACCACTGAGGACCAGAAGGCCCACGGGTGACTGCTCTTGGGTAAAGCATGATCTCTTCCAAGAGAAACTTGAGAAATGCCCTGTAGGACAAAAGTTGGGGCAAATTTCCAAGCACAGACATGGGGAAAAGTGCATGTACCAGTCACGGCAAGTGTGCCTGAAGGAGGAGAGTAGGAGGGATGCCTGGGTGTTGAGAGAGCTCAGAATCAGCCAGGAAGGCCAAAGCTTTTTTCTTTTTAAAAGATTTTATTTATTTATTAGAGAGTGAACATAAGCCGGGTGGGGCGGGGAGGGGCAGAGGGAGAAGCAGACTCCCCACTGAGCAGGGAGCCCAACACGGGGCTCGATCCCAGGACCCTGAGATCATGACCTGAGCCGAAGGCAGACGCTTAACCGACTGAGCCACCCAGGCATTCCCCCGTATGTATATATTCTTAAAATTTTCCCTCATCCATCCTCTTCATAAATCTTTAGATCACTGTAGACTGGGTGAATTGGGGAAGGCTTTTTGAAGTAGGTAAGTTCTTCTTTGTGTTGAAGTAAGTAGAGAATTGAGAGTGGTGGGAGGGAAAACCAAGTGTAAGAATAAGGAAGAGACCACGGGTGAGAAGCAATGGGGACAATAAGGAAGAAGTAGAGCCAGTTCGTGAAGAGACTTGACTGCCCGAATGAAGGTTCTGAGTTTGATTTCGCAAGTGTGTAGAAGCTGTAGTAAGGTCTTTCTTCATCTGTTGACTCACTCAGCTTTGTATTCATTAACCTGGACCTTGATTGATCAACTCAGCAAATACTTCTCAAGCTCCTAGTGTGTATCAGGCTCTCTGTCAGGCCCGGAGCTGTGGTTCTCAACCAGGGGCACTTTTCTCCCCCAGGAGGCAACGGACGATGTCTGGAGATGGCTTTCATTGTCACACTGGGGATGGGGTGCCTCTGGCACTTGACTGGGGAGGGGGCAGGGATGATTCCTACAACAAGGAACTTTCTGGTCCCAAATGTCAATATTGCTCCTGTTGAGAAACCCCGGGCTAGAGGGTACAGTATCTGAGATAAAGTCCTTGCCCTCTGGGTTACCCCAGGGGAGGGGACACTATAAACGAGTAATCCCAGTGTACCAAGCCCCACAGCGAAAAAGGGACTGGATATTATGGAAGAGCAGAAAGAGATGCCTTTAACTCTGCTTGGGGTTGGAAAGATTTCTGGAGATTGGAGAGGAGAGGAAGGTTACCCAGATAGGAATGGGGGTGGGAGGAGGTTGTTCAAAAAGGTGGCCCAGGGGCACGTGGGTGACTCAGTGGGTTAAGTGTCCGACTCTTGGTTTCTGCTCAGGTCAGGAACTCAGGGTGGTGAGATCGAGCCCTAAGTCGGGCTCCATGCAGAGCACTGAGCATGGAGCCTGCTTAAGATTCTCTCTCTCCCTCTCTCACTGCCATCCCCCCATGCATGCATGCACACTCTCTCTCTTAAAAAATAAAATTAAATAAATAAAAAAAAAAAACAGGCCAAAAACGTGGCCTGTTTGGGACTGCTGGGCAGTTTGGTGTCATTGAATATAGGGTATGCGGTGGGATGGGTTGGGGTGGAATGGTGAGAGATGGCACGGGGTGGGGGCAGAATATATCCAGGAAGGTGGTAAGGGCTCAGCCAGTCTCTCCCCCGGCCCTACTTGGTAAGAAGGTCAATGTCCACAAAAGTCACAAAAGGGAATCTGGCACCCCGTTCACAGCGCTCTTGTCTGTAGCTTTTATTTCTCAGCGGGGCTCTGATAAGTGTGTGTCCTCTGAGTTTCGAATAAAGGTAATAGCAAAATATAACTCTTGCTAATAATTTGCCCTGGAGATGGAAGCTGTCAGATAATCATTCAGAATTTAAAACCTCCTCTCAATATTCCTTCAGATGAAGAAAATGGTAAGATAAAAATATAGCAGAACTTATTAGCAACCTCTTCCCCATTTTTTCCCTAAATGGTTAGAACATGCTGCCTTTCCCTGCTCTTCACATCAGCGTTTCTCCTATTAAAGCTGTCTATTTTTCAGTCCTAAATCCTAGGAGGATTTCCCCCCCATGAATTTAACATGACTGAGGATACTGGCTCCAAGGTAAAATTTAGCTGCAAATGATCTAACTGAGACGAGGCATCGTAATAAAGAGACTGAAAAATGAACCACGGCCTTTTCGTAGCTTCATATGTGCGGTCACCTTTCTCTTTCACCCCCAATTTTATGATTATTCATAATGGAAGTAGGCCAGCTTTATACAGTGATTACATGCAACAAATGTCCTTCGTGTTCAAAACCAGCATTCTCCTGCTGCCTCTGGCCAGGAGAGTCCGCGGGAGCCTTGTCGGTGGAGGAGGGAGAGAGGGAGACAAAGCTACCGTTTGCAAGCTTCTCCAAGGGCCAGTCCTACACATGCAGAGCGGTGGTCATGAGTGGAGGGCACGTACAGTCGGGCAGCACCTTCTGGAAGGGTACTTGGGTTATGTGTTCAAGCCCCGCTCCCGACGATGTTTGACCCTGGCTCTCCTGGGGTTGAGGTATTATATAAGCTCTACCAAAGTAAGCATAACCTCCACAAACAAACCGGGTACCCTGAGAAGGAGACTCGAAGCAGGATTATTAAATCTTTCTCAGTGCACCCCCTGCCGCTTTCCCCTCTTTGTGAGAGAAAGTGTAAGGTACACCTCTCCTCTCTGGTCTGGGGGAGCCATGAGCTCCCCTCACCTGGGTTTGGTTCCAGACCACCCCACGATGAAGCGGATAGCGCAGTCAAGCGAGTCAGATGAATGTTTTGGTTTTCCGATGCATATAAGAGTTATAGTGACGTTCTACTGTGATCTATTAAGTATGCAATAGGATATATCTTAAAAAAAAATGGACATGCCTTAATTTTAAAATGCAAACCATCATCTGAGCTTTGAGCGAGCTGCAATCTTTTTGCTGGTGGAGGGTCTTGATGTTGCCGGCTGTTGACAGATCGGGGTGGTGGTTGATGAAGGTGGGGGTGTTTGTGGCCATTTCTTAAAATAATTCAGCCATGAAGTTTGCCACATCAATTAACTCTTTTTCTCACTAGTGAGTTCCCTGTAGCTTGTGATGCTGTTTGATAGCCTTTTACCCACAGTCGAACTTCTTCCATAATTGGAGTCCGTCCTCTCAAACCCTGCCGCTGCTTGATCGACTGAGTTTATGTCATATTCTAAATCCTTCGTCGTCATTGCAACAGACTTTGCCAGGAGTAGTTTCCATCTCAAGAAACCACTTCCTTTGCTCATCCATTAGAAGCTCTTCCTCATCTGTTCACGTTTTACCGTGAGGTTGCAGCAATTCAAATATAATAACAATGAAAAAGTTTGAAATACTGTGAGAATTGCCCAAATGTGTCAGAGACACAAAGTGAGCAAATACTGTTGGAAAAGTGATGTCAATAGACTTGCCTGACACAGGGTTGCCACAAACCTTCCATTTATAAAGAAAATGCAGTATCCATGAAGCACAATAAAGCAAAGCACCAAAAAACAGGGTATGCCTGTAATTGATTCTAGGAAGTGTTTCTCTGTCCATATCACCCTGTGGTTGAAAGCTCGTTTTCCCTTTGAGAAGAAGCCACGCCTCCTCTCTGCTTTCTGGTATTCACCCTAAACTTACACACAGAAC